AATCTAAATGAGGCCTAACCAAGGATGTATAGAGTTGAAGAACAACCTGAGGACTCCTATTATTTATGCTTCTTGATATGAAGCCAAGGATTCTATTAGCTTTATTGCGAACACTTATGCACTGTTGTCTTGGTTTCAGATTCACTGCTAACCAGAAACTCCTAAATCTTTTTCGCAATCCGTAATATTAAAGATCTACATTATTTAGTTTATATGTGGCATGGTTATTGTCCTGTCCAACATTTAGAACTTTGCATTTGTCTATATTAAACTGCATCTGCCACTTCTCCGACCACTGCATCAGTCTATTCAAATCTTCCTGGAGTGCTCGAATGTCCTCGTCAGAATGAATTCGACGGCCTATTTTGGTGTCATCGGCAAACTTGCCGATGTTCGCTCTTTATGCCCTCATCTATGTCGTTTATGTAGATTGTGAACAGCAGGGGGCCCAACACTGACCCCTGTGGAACACCGCTCGTGACACTTCCCCACTCTGATTTCTCCCCATTTATGCAAACTCTCTGCTGCTATTTGTCAACCATGCCTCTATCCATGAAAAAATTTCTCCTCCTATTCCACACAGACACCATTACACATTTGTTGTGGCACAAGCACTGTGACACAGATCCATGACTTTGACAACGTGACGCAGACGTTATGATACAAACATCTTGAAACAGGCACTGTAATGCAGGTTCGTCCAACATTTACCAATGCTAATTACCCAAACCCACCATCTCACACGATCCTGTCAATCAAATCCCCATCTCCCCACACTGACGTATCCCATCCTCTGTTTACATCCCACCTACACACCCACCTTTTTCCACTGATATTTAACACACTTCCCCTCTAATGCTCACCTTTCCAACACACTGTTTATCCAGACTTGAGATACTTCCTCCAGCCTATCTAGTCTCCAAGATAGTACCGTTATGTACCCCCTGTATCCATTTTCGTAACCCCTCTTTCACATTCTCATTTACTTCCAGTTGTTGACAGGAGGGATTAAAGTGTGGTATATAAACTCAGATGAAATTACAAACAAGTAGTACGAAAAGGAAGGATAACTGAGGAAAATCCAAACACATCGACGCCAGGCTGAGAGACTAATTATCTCAAACCCCGCCTCATCTTCACCGTTCTTCTCTGTATTGGACTGAAGAATCCACAGGCTGGCGAAACGTTTCCTCAGTAAAAATTCCCAAATGTTGCACAAGTGTCTGAAACATAATAGAAGAAACGGATCATATAACACTGGACCGCAACCAGACAGTGAAGGAGATGATGAAACTGCTTTGATAACAGGATATAACAGAAGCTATATCCCAATTATTACTGAAAGAAGACGAACTGAATGAATCCACCATGAATATTTACACAACATTTTACTATACTCGTGGAAAGCACCAAATAGGTGGGAAACTGGAAGTGTGATTTCCATTAATAAACAGAGTAATATACAAGGATTATTAAATACAGGCCAGTATTACTGATATGTGTTCTATGTACATTGGAGGGAAAGACAGTCAGAAAGAGATCTGTGATGCACTTGAAGGGGAACTTGACTGTAGGAAAACAAGTAAAACCCTGGCTACGAACCTCTAGGAATTCTAAGATGAACAACGAATAATGAGGAAGAGAGAGAGATAAGGATGGTTCGACTGCCTTTTATTGGACTTCACGGAGACATTTGATACAGTCCCACACTGGAGAAGGTCCCATAAATTGAAAGAGGAGGCAGAGTTGCGAGAAAAAACATTCACGTGGACATATTAGTATGATAGAAGATAAAAGGGTTACAGTAAGGGAAGACACATCAGGTTGAGCATAATTAACAAGTGAGGGTCCAGGATCAATACTATGGCCTTTGCAATGTTTTAGTACACGTGAATGATCCTCTAGAGGAGATCGGTGTCTGTGCATTATTATTTAATGACGACATTATAGAAACGAGAAGAGTAAAGAACACACAAGAAGGCTTGGAAGGGTAACATAATGATAGAGGAAGCTGCAGGACTTGCCAAACAAGTGGTTACCGGCACTTACGCAGCTCAAGTGCAAGATAATGCAAATTACGTAGGGCTGAAGGCGGCCTCAACAACCTTCATAAAATGAGACGAAAGAGGTTTCACAAAGCCAATAATGGGGAGGAATTTGGAGTCGCTGTTATGGCGAACATAATAGCGCATATAAAACCGTAACAGTAACAGTGCACACAAGGACTTCAGATATTTGAATTGCCCTCAAAAACCTCACTAAATAATTCTTCAGAACACTATATACGACCTGTCAGAATACGCAGCATCAGAATGAAGATCACACCTGGGAAGGCAAGTTTAAATAGTTCAAAAGTTTTCAGTTTTGTTCAATTGAGAAAGTTGAACTAAAAGGAGAGGCTTACATAATTAAATATAACCATCTTGGAAGACAAAATCATCAGATAATACATGAACACGGACAAGAAGACACTCAGAGATCTCCATACAAAAGCATTAGGAAACACATAAACACGGACAAGAAGATGCACAAAGATTTCCAGAGAGCTTACAGAAACATATTGTTTAAAAAGCGAGGCACAGAAGCGAGAAGAAAGTAAGAACTGACATGAACTACTGAGACACTAGTAAATAGTTCTTTTGTCTTAGGTATATAAACAAGACGTACTGAAGGCAAACTGCATAAACGGAATCAAGATTAGATATTTTACGGCCCAAGATGAAAGAAATCTTTACGTTCCAGAGGTTATTAGTGGCGGGACCAGGAGATAAGTCTCAACCATGGCAAACACGACTCGATAATTATAGCATGGTGAATGCAGACACTTCCGTTACACAGACATTGCGATATAAGCAACATGTCAAAGAACTCGTGACGCACTGTTTTACACGGATACTTCCTGTTACACAGACACCGTGAAACAGACCCTGTGACATAGACAGAGTGACACAGATAGTGTACCACAGACACCATAGCACAGACATAACGAAACATACACAGTAGGATATACTGCCACGGACACTCTACATGACACAGACATTCGTCATAACACAGACATCCTCCATAACACAGACACTCCTCATATCACAGACACCCTCCATAACACAGACATCCTCCATAACAGACATTCTCCATAACACAGACACTCTCCATAACACAGACACTCTCATAACACAGACACTCTCCATAACACAGACACTCTCCATAACACAGACACTCTTCATAATACAGGCACTCTCCATAACACAGACACTCTCCATAACACAGACACTCCATAACACAGACACTCTCCATAACACAGACACTCTTCATAACACAGACACTCTTCATAACACAAGCACTCTCCATAACACAGACACTCTCCATAACACAGACACTCTCCATAACACAGACATCCTCCAAAACAGACATTCTCCATAACAAAGACACTATCCATACACAGACACTATCCATAACACAGACTCTCTCCATAACACAGACACTCCTCATAACAAAGGCACTCTCTATAACACAGACACTCTCCATAACACAGGCATTCTTCATAACACAGATGCTCTTCATAACACAGACACTCTCCATAACACAGACACTCTCCATAACACAGACACTCTCCATAACACAGACATCCTCCATAACAGACATTCTCCATAACACAGACACTATCCATAACAGAGACACTATCCATAACACAGACACTATCCATAACACAGACACTCTCCATAACACAGACACTCTCCATAACACAGACACTCTCCATAACACAGACTCTCTCCATAACACAGACACTCCTCATAACAAAGGCACTCTCCATAACACAGATGCTCTTCATAACACAGACACTCTCCATAACACAGACACTCTCCATAACACAGGCACTCTCCATAACACAGACACTCTCCATAACACAGACATTCTTCATAGCACACTCTCCATAACACAGACACTCTGCGTGGCACAGACACACTCCGTGATAAAGATACTCCCTGTATCACAGACACTTTCTGTTTCACAAACACCGTAAGTTACTGTCATAGACACTCTCCGTGACACAGACATATTCTGCAATACAGACATTCACCAAGACACAGATTCTCACTCTGGTAGATACAGTTCCAGTGACACACTTTGACGGACACATGCGTTCCGTGGCACAGACAGTGTGATACAGCTAATGTAACACACTGAAATATAAACACACCCTATAACATGTGGCATAGACGCTTATTGTAACGCAAACACTTACGCACTCGCTGTAACACAGGCAAAGAAATGCTCAATCAGTGTGACAGAGACACAGGCTGTGAAACAGACCACGTGGCAAACACTCTCAATCTGGCACAGACACCGTTATTCAGGTACTCACTTTGGCACAGATAGCATGATGCAGACAGTGTAACCGACACTGTGACAAAGACACTGTAACACAAACACTCAAACACCGTGACACAGACACCTTCCGTGACAAAGCAAGCCTCAGTGTAATTAATTTTAATAAATTATTCAATTTTTTCATACTTTTTTGTTCAACTGATGTATTAAAAGTCTATTTGAATGTGCTTTTGTTATATATATATATTATATATATATATATATATTATATAATATATTATATATATATATATATATATATATATATAATATATATATATAATATAATAATATATAAATATTATAAAATATATATATACATATATAATAATATATAATAAATATATATATGTATGTTGTATAAGCATATACATATTCAGTACGTACGTACATGCATGTTTCAAAGTTTTCACCATCTACTATAACAGATGATCTAAAAAATACAAAACCACATAAACATGACATTCATACTGCTAGGCGCTAGGTGTGCAGGTAAGAATACTGCCCCGGGGAGCTGGCGTCCCAGGGGGTCACCCACCGCCTCGCCGACGTACACACAGGGTAATTGAGCGATAATTATAGGTGTTTATTCACCTGCAACTTACAAACACACATTAACAAACGAGTTTTGTCTTATGCTTGTTGTTTTCCCGATTCAATAACACCCAATCGGATCAGAAAACAGTATACAGCATAACACGATGACCTAAGACAATTCACTCGAAGTGGCCTGAAGGTGAAACGGGATTGTTTCACCCACTTCCTATTTTGTTTTAAAAGTCTGAGACCTCTTGCTGGAACTGTAAGCGGGCCACTTCACTGAAGATAATGTCTATTGGGGCAGTGGAGTCGTAGAGGAAGGGGGAGTCGAAGAGGATGACAATGGTTCCTAAGACCGACGTGACACCGAACACCCATAGCAGTAGCCGGTCCAGCACCATGGCCACGAACGCCCAGTCATCGTCCTCCTGCAGAGTTGGGAAGAAAACTACGTTAGTAGTGTGTAAAGAGAAAGAGGGAGAGAGAGAGAGAGAGAGAGAGAGAGAGAGAGAGAGAGAGAGAGAGCGAACTATTACAACAATTAATGTGCAAATTTTAGTTTTTCGACCCACCAAGAACGAATCCGTCAGAGGCATTTTTTTTCTACTCAGAATGTCTTCTTACAAAACTTTCCATATTCGTGGCATTTTATAAAGTAAAGTGCCACACTCAGATGGGTCTCTGAGGCAGAGTGCCACACATAGTTGGTTCCTCAGCCTTTATGACGGATTTCCTACTGAAGACCTTCCTGTGAAGATGAAAGGTCAATTGGAAAGAAGTTTAGCTAAAGTTCTGTAAATATATAATCCTGGTGATTTAACAGCTTTTGCTGGGAAGACAGAATCAGAGAAAATGCGATGAACATACTGATAAAAAGTGATGAACAGAAGAAATCATCGGTGAAGAGAGGCCAAGAAAGAAATATTAACATTGCTGGAACAATACTCAAACAAATTGCACTCAGGAGAGGGAACTTTTGGCTATCTTTCGCTCCGACTTGTACCAATTACAAGTCACAGTGAAGCGAGAAGTGCAGAAAGAATATAATGTATTCAGCAGGGGACGGGGAAAGAAGGGAGTGGTAATGGTGGTGAAAAAAGAGGAAGTAACAGCAATGTTGGTGGAGAGCAAAGAAGTAGTAGTAGTAGCGGAGGTAGTAGCAGTGGTAGTAGTGAAGGTAGTAGCGGTGGTAGTAGTAGTAGTAGTAGCAGCAGCAGTAGTAATAGTAGTAGTAGTAGCAGAAGTAGTAAGAGTAGTAGTAGTTATCCTCTGAATGACTTCAATGCATCTTACTGATATGTTATCTTTTCCCAATGACGAGTTCTCTCCTCTCTCTTATACATAAACATTCGCAGTTTACTCATTAATTGAACATAAAACTAGACGACATTCTGATCATTTCTAGACTAATATAAAGTTGCGAATCAGAGATGTAATGAAAATCTGTGCAGTTTTAAAACCAAACTTGGAAGTTACATGTGAACTGATCTAACCACAATATTGTGATTTTTTATTCGTTTCTAATCTTATTTCATAAATTTGACTTTCTTTGTGTGTGAGCAACCGTATTCCATCGCCTCCCCTCCAAGAAGAATACCCCTCCACGAAAGAACCAGAAAAAATAATTCAAATTGGATAAGTTTACATTTAGAAAAGATATAGGAAAATATTGCTTTGGAAATATAATCGATGAGTGGAACAGTTTACCTAATAGGGTAAATGAAGCTAAAACCTTCGGTATCTTCAAATTTAGGTTATATAAATACATGAGTGAGAGGGGTTGGATTTAAGTGGGACTTGCACATGAGTTAATAGGGCATTCAAAGTTTATTTTCCTTTTGTATCAATGAAAAAAGGTTGGGCAAATATTTTTCTTAGTGAGTTTGGGTTTTATAAGAACCTGCCTTGCATGGGCCAGTACGTGTGCCGCAGTGTTCCTCCATTTTTATGTTCTTATGTTCTCTATTATTCGTCTTGCTCTAAGTCCCTCTCAGTTCTCTGTCTTTATCATTATACCTACCTCATCAAACTTATCTTGCTGCATCTGATGGTAGTGGATGAACTTAACGTTGTGGATGGCCCGCTTTATCTCCAGTGGGTAGTGTGCTTGAGCCTCCGGTGAGATGTGGAAGCACTCTGGAAGGTCACCATATGGGGCTTCGAAAATGCCGCCTCCCCCAGACATGCCCGGTGCCCCAGGCAGCCCATCCTCGTCTACGTCTCTGCTAGCACCCACCGAACCCAGACCACAAAGTCCCCCAGCTCTCAATCCCCCAGGGCAGCCCCCGCCACCTGGTGGACGCAAACCGTTGAAAGATGATCCTGGGGAAGTAGATAGCAAGATTATCGATTATCCTGGGGCAGTAGAGAAAAAGGTGAAATTAGTAATAATAGTGGGGAGTAGTAAGAGAAATCATCGAATATGCACTAGAAGACAGAAAGGTAATCGTTCATCCTGGGGAGTAGACAGAGATCATGAATGATCCCTTTGAGTAGACACGGTAGATGATCGCTTTCCTTTGATATAGTTAAAGATCAATGATGATCCCAGGGGAGAAAATAGATAGTAGGTATTATTAATAATCCTGTGTAGTACAACTCTAATATTTTTTAAGCAACATAGGTGACTAAAATACTTTATATATATATATATATATATATATATATATATATATATATATATATATATATATATAATATATATATAATATATATAAAAAAAATATATATATATATATATATATAATTTTACATATATATAATTGGTACCACCTCTGGAACTGTGCTGGGGACCCTCATCCCAGAGAAAAGAATAAACTTACTTCAGGAAAGACTCAAGGTTCTCCCTGAAGCTGTATCAATATTGTCTTCTACTACCCCTATATTCTATATTTTATGTAGACTTTATTTAAAGACAAAATATAATGACAAAAATACAATAGAGAGTAAAACAGCATAGGTAAATTCTCTGAGCTACATCACGAATACTTCATCCAGCTCCCCAGCGGTGGGCCACATGCCCAAGATGCTGCAGGCATTTCCCTTCTGGATAGTAACATTGAGTCTCTGAAAGAGGAAGCTGGCCACCCTGTAATCCTTGGTGAGCTTTTCGCCCAGCTCTTTGAGAAAATTTAGAGCACACCTGCCCAATGCTCCAAGGGTCTCTCGACCCTATTGGGATGAAGTTATAGCAAGTGGGAAGGTCTTCATATTTGTTGGTCTTCTGGCTCTCCCTGTGGCTGGCAGCTCCACCCCCTTCAGCCATGCAGTATGGCAAGTAGGTGTCTGCTAATGTGGCAGCACAGGTGTAGTTCCAGGCAATCTGCTTACCATCCATCCAGGGCAGTATAGTGGCTCCATCAGGATGCTTTCGACTTCCATCAGGCCTCTGTACTTGGGGTTCCCGGTTGAGCTGGGCAACGGGCTGTGGCGAGGCTTCTTTTTATGATATCGACTTAGTTATGTGTCGTGTGTCACACGAGACCATAAATTCCGAATTGATCAGCTGTCGCCCTCCCATAGATACACTTACGTTCGGTGAGAATGGGGGCGGCTAGGCAAAGAGCAACAGCAATCCTAATGGCCTGTGGGTCGATTCGAGTGACCAGAGAGGAATCAGGAACAGCTAAAAAGAAATCTCTTGAATGTGGTGTCTTCACCACTAGGAGACGAGCTTTGTCCTTTCCTGAAGCATTGGCGAGCACAGCGTTGGCAATTTTTTCCGTGCTTGGTTTATCCCAGTGGGACTGTTTGAGCTCTTTGGGAGGAGCTGGTATACTGGAGGAGTCTGCAAGGGTGTCCCACCACACGGCTGTTTCAGTGAACCTGGGGCCTTGAGCTCCTACCACATCTCCTTGACTAATCCACTGGAAGCCAAACAGAAATGCAGGTACAGCTACCTGCGTTGCTTTGAGCACCCCTATACCTCCCAGTCGCACTGAGAGGGTTGCCTGATCCAATTGCTGATCTTCCAGTGATAGATTCAGTGCCTTCTTAAAGACTGATCTCAGGAGTAATTCATATTCGGTGAGTGTTGGGATGCCACAAGAGGGTGCACACCTCAGGAAGTGAGTCTTAGCAGAGTAATACAACTTGTGAGGAGATACAGGGCATCATGGGCATCAAGATCTCTTATTCCCTCCTCCATTCTCTTCAGGTCATTCAGTTTGTCCTTGAGGACTGTGTCGATGGCCTGATGACCCAGTGGTGTTCCCAAAAGGGTGCTTTGGGAGCACCCTCTTGGGAGGTAGTAGAGACTTCAGTTAAGTTTGCTCACACAACACAGATTATTTCCCGGTTCGTTGTGATGATTTCACACTTGGAGGGATTGATAATGAGTCTCAAGGCTTCTGTGTCTTCACCAGTTGTAGGTCCTCTAGCAGAGACTCTTCAGTACCTACCAGAGTGTCATCATCAAGGTACCAGATGTTGATCTCGATGCACAGGCTGGAAGTTAGTTGTCTTATTGCGAAGGAGAAGAGAAGTGGAGAGAATGGATCACCCTTCTGAACATCCTCTGATGAGGGAATTTCATGTTTGCCAAACAAAACAATTGAGGATTTGCTGTAGCCAACTATAGCCAACTGTAGCGCAAGCTGGACGCCAAGGTATTGGTCCAGTGTGGTGAGAATGGTAAGGCACTGCGTACCTTGTTCCAAGGTTCGTAGGTTCGAGTCTCCTTCGGTCAGAGACCAGTGTTTGTGTACATTTCGCCTGCTTTTGCGAATTCCTTGCATATATGCATATATATGTATATATATTATATATATATATATATATATTATATATATAAAATATATATATATATATATATATATATATATATATATATATATATATATGTCGTGCCGAATAAGTTAAACTGGTCAATTAGCAAGAACTCATTTAAAATTAAGCCCTTTCTAAAATTTTCTCTTATACGTTTAAAGATATATATTTTTCATTAATGTTGATGTAAAAATTTATAATTTTGCATCAAAAGGAACTTAGAAAACTTACCTAACCTTATTATAACAAGCGCAATTTATTTTAGCCTAACCCAACTAAATATATTTTAGATTTGTTTTATTATTATTTACTTTTTTTTATTATCACAATGGCCGATTCCCACCAAGGCAGGGTGGCCCGAAAAAGAAAAACTTTCACCATCATTCACTCCATCACTGTCTTGCCAGAAGGGTGCTTTACACTACAGTTTTTAAACTGCAACATTAACACCCCTCCTTCAGAGTGTAGGCACTGTACTTCCCATCTCCAGGACTCAAGTCCGGCCTGCCGGTTTCCCTGAACCCCTTCATAAATGTTACTTGGCTCATACTCCAACAGCACGACAAGTATTAAAAACCATTTGTCTCCATTCACTCCTATCAAACACGCTCACGCATGCCTGCTGGAAGCCCAAGCCCCTCGCACACAAAACCTCCTTTACCCCCTCCCTCCAACCTTTCCTAGGCCGACCCCTACCCCGCCTTCATTCCACTACAGACTGATACACTCTTGAAATCACTCTGTTTCGCTCCATTCTCTCTACATGTCCGAACCACCTCAACAACCCTTCCTCAGCCCTCTGGACAACAGTTTTGGTAATCCCGCACCTACTCCTAACTTCCAAACTACAAATTCTCTGCATTATATTCACACCACACATTGCCCTCAGACATGACATCTCCACTGCCTCCGCCTTCTCCTCGCTGCACCATTCATCACCCATGCTTCACACCCATATAAGAGCGTTGGTAAAACTATACTCTCATACATTCCCCTCTTTGCCTCCAAGGACAAAGTTCTTTGTCTCCACAGACTCCTAAGTGCACCGCTCACCCTTTTCCCCTCATCAATTCTATGATTCACCTCATCTTTCATAGACCCATCCGCTGACACGTCCACTTCCAAATATCTGAATACATTCACCACCTCCATACTCTCTCCTACCAATCTGATATCCAATGTGATATATATTATATATATATATATATATATATATATATATATATATATTATATATATAATATATATATATATATATATATATATATATAATTATATATATATATATATATATATATATAATATATATCTGTTATTTGCAGCAAATTAGCAAGACTGCTCCTAACTGATGTTTATCCTAAATATGATGATTAAAAATAATGTTCATTTTTTAACCAAATTGACTTTGTTTATTCTAAATCTAACTGTCTTGGGAAGAAAATAAAACTTCGTAAAATATCCTAAAATTTATTCCACTTCAAATGAATATATTTTTGAAAAGTATCAAAAATATTATTGATATTTTTGGAAAGTTTCAAAAATATCATGTTTCTTGAAATAACATTTAAAGTTTTGAAAAGTAATAAATGAGACTAAAAGTTCTAATTGTTCTCCCAAAATACACTTTATGTTGTTCAGTTTTATATGTTCTTTCCAGCTTCAAATAACATGAACACTTAAAATGTTCTCGTGAAATGTTGCAAATCAAGTTCCCAAAACTTCATGATTATGAGATATCTAAAAATGGATTATTCTTTTACTTGCTAAGAAATTATGTTCTACCGTTATATTTACTATTAAGTTCTGAGTTAAAATGTTTGTTCTTAATTAGTCTTCCTTTATATTTTAGAGATTATATATAAATACAAATATTTTGAGAAAACAAATATGGTAAGACTTTTAGACCTTTAATCAAGGAATAGTATAAATACACACGTATGGCCCAAGAGCAAGAGCCCAAAGTTTTGTATAAGATATATGTAAGTTAAGATATATGTATTTAATTCACCCTTTTATGTATAACATTTTATGTGATACTAGATGAAAATTGACCGTAGAATATTAAAAAAGAATAACTCTCTATGAGAATATTATAATGCATAAATAACCCGCAGATAGGAGAGAGAAGTTTGTGATGATGTTTCAGTCTGACTTGGACGATTTACAAGTCACACTAACACACGAGAGTGAGGGAGCCAGTGTGTACTGGCGAGGAGGAGAGGGCCGGGACGAAGAAAGAAGTGATGGTAGAGGCAATGTTGGTAATGGAAATAGTAGTTGTTAAGTATAATAACATGAGATGTAACAAAAGGTTCTGCAATATCTATGGTAACAGCAACGCAGGAGTGAATCTGTTGTGGCAGTTAGGACTCTAATATAAAATGGTCACAAAAGGTAAGTCATGTAGGGAGTTGTGTCACTTGTTCCCTTCTGTACTCCTATGCCTTCATCCACTCCTGAGAAAAACATATAAGCCACCTAAGTAAAAATTATTCATAAGATTATGAGAGAGTTTAAGACTACTTATAAAGGTATGTAATAAATACTCCTAAACT